GGCTCAGTGGTGAAGAGCATTGGCTGCTCTTCCAGAGGACCCAGGTTCAGTTCCCAGCACCTACATGACAGATTACAACTGGCTGTAACTCCAGTTCCAGAGGCTTTGATGCCCTTACGCAGACATATATGCAGGCAAGACACCAATAAATGCACATAAAATAAAAATAAATAAACATAACAAAAAGGAAAGTAATGCCCACTCCCTTCGTCTTACCTCCCATGGCAAAACCCACTTTTCCACTTAGCTCGTGTCTTCTGTGAATGCTTTTTCTTGTCATATATATATATATATATATATATATATATATATATATATATATATGTATATGTATATATATGCATTTGCATTATATATATATCATTTGCATTAGTCTCTGCAATTCCACCATTAACACTTTCTTTCCTCCAAAGTTTTATTTTCACTGTCCTTTTAAATCTGGCTTTCTTCATGAGGTGACTCTCGTCTTTTTTGACTTTCTGTTCTATATATAGAGGCAAGGGCAAAAGGATGCAAAAGGATGCTAAAGGATATGCAAATGATACTTGTTCTATAGCGTTTGAAAAGCCACAGGGACTGCGTCCCACCTGGTGGTTCAAGGAGGTGGGGAGAAGCATAAGAAGCAGCTGCCAATTCTTCAGAAAGGAGAGCCAGCCTGCCCCCTCCTCCATTTATGATTGGTCAGCCGTGGGTAGCCTCAGGTTTTAGTTTTGCCCTCCGTCTGACTGACGAACCTACTTCCCGACATCCGGTGAGTTAGCTATATGTCTCATCACCCTGATTCCTTGCCTGGGTTAGACTGTAAATCATAAGGAAAACCATAACTTCAGTATCTGCAATATAAACTTCAAAAAGGGAAGTGGCAATTTCACTGTTGATAGTTGTTAGAGGGTCCGTGTCAAAGGTGTCAGTGAAATTAGGAAGAGAAGCAAAGAAACCGAAATCAATTAGCTTGAGATAGTTGTATAGAAATCCCTTGCTATGCAGGGGAAGGAGTAGAGGAGACAGGAAGAGGAATAGAAAAGGGAGTGTAAGACTTGGGTGGAAAAGATCACTGTTTTTTTTTCTTTGACTTTTTCTTTAACATATAGTGATATATAACAATTTTATTTGAAAATAGAGAACTTGCCTTACTTTCATTCAACCTGCCTCGCCTTTTCTTTGCTTTCAAACTACCTGAAAAAGACAGTATGCCCATCAGCTTTCCATCACTGTGATAAAACATGGAGAAAATGAACTTAAAGATTTGTTTTGGCTACTAGTTTCTGAACTTTGGGCCATAGTTGCTTGTCCCAATAGCTTTGAGTCTGAAATGGTGGAGCCTGTGGCAAAGGACAGGAGCTCACCTTACAACAAAGATAAACAAGATGTGAGGACGAACTGGGGTCCCCAAATCCCCTTCAAGGCCAACCTCAGTTACATGACCTCTTTTCACCAGGGCCTGACTCTACTACGTCTCAACAGACTGACCAGCTGGGACCAGGCTTTCACTATGTATATTTCTTGGGGACATTTAGTATTCGTAACAAGTAGTACTGTGACACTATTAGTCCCATCTACTTTTTTACCGATTGTAGCTTGTCTCCATCTCCCCACCTACCTCACCCTAAAACAGTACTTGTCATTTTGATTGGCTTTTTTTCTTACAGACAGGATTTTAGTGTGTAGCACTGGATAGCCTGGGACTTGCTAGATACACCAGGCTGGCTTTGAACTCACTGACGTCTACATGGCTCTGCCTCCAGAGTGCTGAGACTTAAGGTGCGTACCATCATGCCTACCTGATTGGCAATTTTGTTTGCACTTTTTATCAAATGAAAATGTAAATCACTCCCTTTTCAAAATATTCACTACTCTTATTTATTTTTTTCCTTTTTTGCATAGTGTGTGTGTGTGTGTGTGTGTGTGTGTGTTGTCTGTGTGTGTATGGGCACATGACATATCATGCAAATGAAAGCCAGAGGACAATTTGTGAGGGCGATGCTTTCTTTCCTTATAGATCACAGGGGTTGGAGTTGTGTCATCAGGCTTAGTAGGGAGCATCTCTGACAGAGCAATCTTGACAACAGCAGCAAAAGGAAACTGTTCTACCGGGCATGGCTTGAACATATATGAGACCTCAAAGCCCACTCCCATAGTGACACACTTCTTCCAACAAGGCCACACCTACTCCAAGAAAAAAAAGCCACGCCTCCTAATAGTGTCACTCCCTATGGTCCAAGCATTCAAACACATGAGTCTACAGGGGCCGTCCTATTCAAACTACCACACTAATGATGATTTTTTTTTATTTTCTACCCCTAGCCCCCTATTTATTTGTTAATCTTTAAGTTCCCAAGAGCTACAGTTTCTTACTTTCATGTTAATTCTAAATTGAAACAATTTCAACCAAAACTCATATCCTCTATTTTAAGGTACCCACCTCTTAAGGAAGACTTCTGCTGATTAAATAAAAGAAAGGCAAAGCCTATAAAATATATAGAGAATGTGAGCACTGGAGGACAATCTGTGTTAATATTGCAATATCCCGCTAAGAAGAAATTATACTCTAATACGATAGTGTTGGTGAGAGGTTAAACACAAAGCTGCCCTGTTCAGGACCAAAGCTTTGCAAGTGGAGATCATGAAATGAATTGGGAGTGTTTCAATCGGGAGAAGAGCTGCCTTGGCAGTAGGGTCCCTATATTTGCAAGTAACTGAATTTGTCCAGTGCAATAGAAAGCAAACAGAGTATGAGTGAGCATTTTCTTAGGGGATGGATATGTTCAATGTTACACCTTATGTGTGTGTGCTATTGAGAAAGAAATACGTAGGTAGTGACTTCATTTCTAAAGTAAGCCACAGGACGCCATTGCTGAGCTTGAAGGTTCAGAATGGTCCAGAAATATGCATTCCTGGGTTCTTAGCATTATTAGAGTTTGTATCAGTTTCTTGGCTTGTAGGGGACTAGAGCCTTCCCAACACTGTGACCCTTTAATACTGTTCCCCATGTTGTGGTGTTGCTACTTTATAACTAATTTTGCTACTGTTATTAATCCTCGTGTAAACACCTGATATGCAGGATATCTGATATTCGACCCCTGTGAGAGGATTGTTTGATCTCCCATCATGACCCACAGGTTGAGAACAGCTGGACTAGAGGCTAAACATATATATTTTACAATGTTGCGAAGGGAATCCTTTGTACTCCTTGTAAGTTCTGCTGACATGAAAAGTTTTCCGAAGTTTATTAGATTTTTTAAAATTTTTTATTTAACTTTTATTAATTACACTTTATTCATTTTGTATCCCCCCCATAAGCCCCTCCCTCCTCCCCTCCCGGTCCCACCCTCCCCCCTCCTTTCTGCATGCATGCCCCTCCCCAAGTCCACTGATAGGGAAGGTCCTCCTCTCCTTCTTTCTGATCTTAGCCTATCAGTTCTCATCAGAAGTGGCTGCATTGTCAGGGTTCTAGGTTATCTCCATGGATAGTCCTTGGTTGGAGTATGAGTCTCTGGGAAGTTCCCTGTGTTCAAATTTTCTTGTTCTGTTGCTCTCCTTGTGGAGTTCTTATTATGTACTTATATTAGGAAATATTAAGTTTAGAAACTGTGGTGAGTTACTTATATTACCAGGGTGTTATCCTTTACAATTGCATGAGCTCATCAAGGGACAAGATTCTACTGTATATATTTTCATAAGTAACAAGAAATTAACAGGAAAAGGAGTTCTGTAAAAATTTCCAACAATATAACTGCAAATTCCTCAGTTTCTTGTTCTTCTTCTTGTTCTTCTTGTTCCTCATCTTCTTCCTTTTCAGTTCTCTTGTGATACCTGCCTTGTTTACCCAGGAACGTGTCCCCTCCCCCCACTAAGTTCAGCACAGGATGTTAATTTGACCACGAGGATCTTCCCATCACCTATTTAATTAATTTTCCAGTGCAAAGTCCTGCAAATGGCCCTGAGAGGCCTGTTGAGAAGAAGATCTGTGGAACTAACTCCAGATCCCTGGACACAAGATCCCTAAACAGTGTGGGTATCGCTGATGCGTTTGCCAGGCACGATCCAAGGTTCATAGTTAAGGAGAGCCTGAAAAGCATTCTGAGTGTCTCAGACTTACACGGACCGGATGGGATGATGCCCACTTACCATTGAATTGAGGCGGATCGGATGATATCCACCTTACTCATGCATCTGGTCCTCACTAGTTTTTTTGTTAACCTGACAGACGCTAGAAAGATCCAGAAAGAGGAACCTCAGTGGAGAATGCATGTAGGCAAGTCTTCAGTGCATTTTCTTGGTTAATGATTGACACGGAAAGCCCCTCCCCCCCCCCCAGAGGCCGGTTCCACGCCTGGGCGGATGGCTTTATGAGTAAGCAGGTCGAGAACACAAGCCACTAAGCAGCATCCCTTCATGGCTTTTGCTTCAGTTTTGTGCCTTGAATTTCTGTCTTGATGCTTATCATGATGGACTCTAAGTGATACGCTGTAAGCTGAAATAAATCTTTCCTTTCCAAGCTGCTTTTGGTCACGGGGTTTTGTCACAAAAGAAGCAAACTAGATCACATCCGATCTGCGCGCCACCCCTGTGGACTGTAGCAACCAGTTGTTAGAATTATAATGAGGTCTCTAGGTTTCTGGTAGAGTAACAGGTAGTTTTTGGGTAGCTGGGGTGAGTTTTTTCCTTGGCAGGTCTTTATCCTATAGTAGTATGTCGTATATAGGTCTTTGCAGCTCTGGAACAGTGAAGCTGGATAAGATGTTATTTACCTTAGGTGATTATAATTACTGGTACTCACTCCTGTAGTTAGGTCCAAATTCGTACAATGGGAATGAATAGCCCTAAATAAATACAGATTTACTCTCTGCCCTCAGTTCAGGCTCTCAATGTTATGTATTACTAATGAGGAATATTAACTGTTATGAGAAGTAAGGATAAATACCATAAAATAAGCCTAATACTCTGTACATCAAAAGATTTTATAAAAGATTCATTAGACTAAGACTGAGAATTTCAGGAATATAGTCTCTTAGATATTTATTATAATCTTCAAAAAATAAAACAAGATAAACTCAGAGAACAAAACTACTTTTCATACAGAATTCACACACAAACTAAATACCTAACAGATCATGTACCATTTTCCACAATTAATTTCAATACTAATAATTTCACAATGTGAATATGCTTTATAGCTTTAAACTCAGACAAGAGCTTCTGCGGACACAGGAAAAGTCATGATACTTGCTATGCAGCCGCCGTTTTCAACTAAACATCACGATCACTATAAGAAAGCATTAAATATTGTCTCGAGAAGCATTCCACAGTGTCGTCACCAAGAAGGAGCCCAAAGTACCCGGTCACAAAGGAGAGTCTTTCTTTGTGCATTGTCTAATGCCCTTAAACAAAACCCAGAGCTAACGAAAAAAATCTGACGACGTATCTGCCTGGGGGACGAGGCAATGCCTTGTGGTTTGGCTCATTGGCAAATGTCTAAATTAACTGCTCTAAAGTGTCTTGAAAGCACGTGGCGTTCTGTGGCTGAGCTGCGGCTGCCCCGTGCAGGGAAATGCGATAATGGAGCAGCTTGCTGTCTTCGTGTAGACCAGAATGCAGAGAGCTAAGCTGGGCAATTTGTGGGTTTCAGTCTCCACAGTTGCTAACTCTGTTGGCCTTCTATTCTCAGGGAACACCCTGAGGCCTTCTGCGTTCGCATGCTTGGCACAGGCTCCGCACCACCTAATTATTTCTGGGATCGAGTCTGACGGCTTCAGAGGAGCCATCCTTGACTCTTACAGTTCTTACAAGTCTGCATGCTCTTTGCTCCTATGTGCTGTCATGATCTACCGCTTGGATTACACCGTCTAGGTTTACCACATGCCTTCCATGTTAGATTGCCCCAATGCACCTGGCAATCAGGGGCCATGTGACAGCAAATGAAACATTTAACCACACTCTTAAATCATCACTGTGTCATCGGCTACCTGCTCCTACTTTGATTTTCCTTTTAATTTGGCACTAAGTCTTTGCTATCTCTATCTCCGACCCATCATTTTCACTGCACCTCTTCAGTGGATTGTAAGAGATGAGTAGAACTTCCAGCCCGGTACAGTTACCCTTGGGCCACATACTGCCCACCCAAGCTAACATCACAATATGACTGGCACTCTTCATAGATCTGGTCATGTACCATAGAGAGTCAGGTACGAGAACGCTTACTGTGGACAGGGAGAATGGCATCAAAAACCAACTGCACTCCATTAATTTCAGTGACTGACTCATACTTCCTAAAGGTATAATGGCTTGCTAGGCACCTGAAAAAAGATTAGGACCATACTAAAATGTGGCTTTGCCCTAATAATTGACACAGCGAATTGGAAATTAAAGGGGTGATCTAGCTTACCTTTCATACACATAAACACGGTTAACTTTTGATAGTCCAACTGTGTACAACCTTGTGAAGTTTTAGGACAGTAAGTATGGTTCAGAGCAAAAAGTTTTAATGTGTGTTTGTGGATGAGTATGTGTGTGTGTATTAAGACTTCAAAATGGATTAAGGATTTCGATTGCTATTTCTTTCTTTTATATCAGCAGTGTGGACAGTTGAGAGTTGAAGGCAGATACAGCATTATCTACAAACTAAAAGACACTGATGATGCTAAGAGATTCCAAGGCTGACATGGCTGAGCTTGCAAATAAAGAACAAAATCAAGTAACAATAAAATATACATACAATACAGGAGTGGAGATCTCCAAAGACAGAACATGTGATCAACTTTTCTGAGGAGAAAAGGTGACTTCTGGTTATGCATATTTTCCTTAGGTATCTAAATTAGCTGCTAAATACACTCTTGTACGAATATTAGGGGAAAAACTCTGAACTATAGAAATGAATACTTTTATAAAAACAAACTCACAGTCATTCTTTCTCAGAAACAAAAACTCACGATTCTAAAACGTAAAACTGACATGTGTTTTCAGATACTAAATGTTTGGCTTATAAATGGGGGAAAAGGTACTTTTAAGTAGGCACAGAGTTTTCCATGATGCCAGTAAAATGTTGACTGTATAAATTGCACCACTAGACAAATACTGCTACTAGAAATCATTTGAATAAGCACACAGCTATCAGAGCGTCTCACACACTTCCACGCTAGTTTATATACACTGAGTAAGTCATTAAATATTGCACTTATTGGCCCATGAACCCTCAATTCTGAGGCGTTGAAAAATAGAAAACAAATCTATTTTTTTAGAACATACTTCATGCAACATTTACGACATTTCAGTTCTACAAACACCATGAAGTAGTTGGACATTTGGACAGTCCAATGGCATCACGTCACATCTGACATTAACACTATATTAACAGGGATTACAAGATAGTTCCCATTCAGCACGCTTTCTAGGGATGATGGAAAATGCACGGAAAATCATCCTGTCGACACGGCAGACAACCCTTACACTTCACTTTGACAGGAAATATGGATTTACTAGTAAGACACAGGTCATGCTCACATCCCTGACTGGCCAGGTACACATGCTGCTCAGGTAACCGTCTGTCTCTAGGAGAACAGCATTCACGAACCTAAGCAATCCTTAGCCACAAATGACAAGAATATGGTGATATTTCCACTACACACACACATACACACACACACACAAAAAAGCCACAGCAACTCTCAGTTGTCCACAGTGAAGGAAAAATGAACACGGGTGAAGGAAAGACAAAGGTTGTTCCCAGCCTCACTTCAGCAAGTAATAACCGATGGAAACTCCACGAGTAACAGCTGCTGAAGGGAAATTAATGCTGACGCCTGATGTCATCCAGCGAGGATAGTGCTTTTAAAATATCCTTAATGATTTCTAAAAATCCGGAAGTATGAAAGAACGGTGCAGAATAAACCTGATATGTCCTTATGTGCAATGATCTAATCTTAACACTCCGGTCCCAGCTGTGGTTTTGAGGCAACTCATTCCTGTAACCTCCAAGGTTTACAAAGTGCACCTTCTCTCCATTCTTTCTGTTTTAGAAGTCATGGCCACAGACTAAGCAAGTGCCCATGAAGAATCGATTTCATTGAACTTCTAAGTAAGAGGTGATTACAGATGGTGCAGAGCAAGATGGCCCCTCTTCCCTGCATGGAATGGGAAATTTTCTCCTCACCAGAACAGATGTCGGTATTTTCAAGAGCATGTTGGGAGAGGCAGTGGTAGGAGGGGATCTCAACTCTAAATATGTCAATAAGCTGCAGGGAGACATGTTATGGGAGTGCTAAGCATTTCTTGGATGGTTTAAAAATAGATTTATTTATGAGATACTGCTAACGGTGCGTAAGCAAATTTCATATAAATCCCCACGACTTGTTTTTCTCCCTTGGGGATACTATAGATCTAGACTCTAGAGCACTTTAGGAGCAGTATAGGGGCAAAGATCACCTCCCTCCCATCTGTTCATAAACATTATTCTAATTGAACTTCTACCTAATTTGTCCTCATTAAACTCCAGGGTATAAAACAGGTTTATGTCTGAACTGATTTCTAGGAAAAAAAAATAAATAAATAAAATTTAAAAAATATGGTTTGACTCTTCAGAGGTTTAGCATACCAGGGAGACCACTGGCAGGAAACTACAGTGCAGGTCGAAGAAGTGTGAGCACGGCGCCATTGCGAGTGAGCACAAAGGCCTCCTGGGTAGCCTCACAGAGCACACTGGTGTGCACACAAAAGAGGTTCCAAGGGGCCTGTCATGAAGACTAAAATTCAGACAGTTCCCCGGACAGATGGGTCAGCTTGCAAAAATGGCGCACCCAAAGGTATCTGATTGACCATTCCAACATTTGTGATGAAGTCAGCGATAAACGTTAACTTTTCGATCTAGAGTGGTTTGGGTCATGTTTTTTAAGGTCATTCATGTCACCATTTTTCCCATGTAGCAGCTCTCTCGGCTTGGTGAAGCTTTCAGGTTTGTATAGATTTTTAATACAGTGCCACAAGTGCCACAAAGGCAACTAAAAAAACCAAACAAAAACCAAAGGACTGGTACACACTGGATAAAGCATGTCAATGAGCCACTAATAACTCCAACACTCTGTGGGTAGTGTTGCTTAGAAGAAGTTCAGTTAACAGCGGGATGGATTTTACTTTAAAATTATTGTTGTTACAAACATAAAGTTAGAAGCTTAAATTACCTCCCAAAAACGAAAGAAAGAAAAACGCGCTGAATATGTGAATGTGGATAAGGGTGAAGGAAGGAAACTAAACGCATTTTTTAATTGAGCCCATTGATGTCTTATATAACTTCAGTTTCAATTTTGTAGAATTTATATTTCATGTTTGTTACCACAACTGACACTCCTTTTCTAATGCAATCTCAGCACTTATTTACCTGGCGGCAAGCAACACTAAACATTCAGTGGCCCCAGGGAGGAATGTCACACATCTCTTGTTCCTTGTAGTCCTTAGAAGCTCAGGATGGCAGTAGATGCTGTTTGGCAGGGGTAACGGCAGGGAACTGAGTCCCAGTCATAAAGCAGTTCTTCCTTTGAGCCCATGGACTTGAGGCTTGTGGTTAGCTCGCCATCTTGGAACTGAGGACACCCTGTGAACCTCCCACGGCCATTCATGCTGCAAGATGTCTACTTAGATGAAATAGCTTCCAGTATTCCAGCGTGAGGAAAGGAAAGAGACAAACCAAAGTCAGAGCTCTTGAGAGTGTTTTCCTGAAGCAGTTAGGGTTCAGTTCTGAGACAGCGGATGGGCAGGGGTGCCCAGGTGACCACATGGGAAGGGGAGGGCACACTTAGTTTACTAACTTAATTGCATTAGCAACAAGAAATGATGTCTAAGACCTACCAAAAAGACAAATATGTAGTTTTTAAACATCTTTTTAGATACAAATTTAGTCACGTCATTGGGTCATAAGGACCATCATAAGGTCCAACTCATATTTAGGTTGATGACGGGAGTGTAGTATGTATGTAGTGGCTAAAGGTTGAAACCTTCAGGATTAGGGTGATAGTAATTGTAAACCTAAGTGTTACAGATGTCCTATTATGTGGTTTCCATTTGCCAAATTTGATGATTCTTCCCCCTTCCTGAGTGGCAACAGAAACACGGGCAGCCTTCTCTTCGTCTCAGTGGCAAGTCTCTGAAAATTTTCTCCCAAGTATTTGGAATGAAACACACAGCAGGTTTGAAATTTCATACTTCAAAATCAACTGGGAGGACTGCACTTTCGCGGGAGTTTAGAAAATAGGAGGTATGGAATGTTGAATGTTCTGGGGCAAAATGACACTAGGGCTACTGCTGCCCCTTTCTGTCCTGAAAGCAAACGTGGCTGTTTCCCTTTCTCTCCCACCTGCTCTCATTTCATGGAACACCTGCGCCAACATCCTTCTGAAGTAGCCATCTGAAGAACCCAAGCAAGGCCTCTTAGGCTCATTGTATGCACGTGAGCAAAGGGGCCCGGGCTTCCTGGCTTCGTTGTTTTGTACTGGATTGTAAAACTGAGCTTGAGAGCTGTAGGATTTAATACAACCACATTCTGGCCCGTGTGAGAGAAGCAGGACAATGTCATACGAATACGTACCCATTGCAAAGAAATACTGCTTTGTGACCCCTGCTTCTCTCTTTCCCTTCATGGTAATTTCTATGATTCTTGAATCTAGGTGTCATTAACCTCAAAAAAAAAAAAATTAGTGTCTTCTTATCTTTGGTGAGTCAAGGCTGGCTCCTTCAGGTGTCCAAAGTGGAAACTTACCACTAATTTATATTAGTTTGAAACTAAGCATGTGAAAAGAAACGTGCACACACTGTCTCATCGATAGCCATGTCCAGCAAGCTTGTGCTACTTTCAGGAGATCTCTCTCCATTTTTGAAGGGATGAGGGATCTTTTCTACAACTACCAAAAAGGAAAAAAGCCACTGAACAAGAAATTGTCCTGTTCTTCAAAAACTGATGTCCTCAGACGGTGTTCCTCAAATACTTCTGGAAGGTAGCGAGGTCCAAGTTTCTCCTGCCACTCAGCCCAGAAGGGAAGGGCTGATGTTTGTGTGCGGTTTCTTTCTTTTCTTTTGTTTTTCTAGGCCAGGTTTCTCTGTGTAGCCTTGACTGTCCTGGAGCTCACTCTATAGAGCAGGCTGGCCTTGAACTCAAGAGATCCTCCTGCCTCTGCTTCCTAAGTGCTGGGATCAAAGGTGTCTGCCTACATCGCCAGGTTTTTGTGTAATATTTCTAGATGGTCTTCAGGAAACCTAGAAGAAAAGACTGGATGTCCAAGTGTCTCCTCCCTCTCTCCAACTCTTCAATTTTCTGTACCACTCAGCTCTGGAATCTTCTGTGCAACTTCAGCATGTTTAGAGACTTATGTAAGAAGGGCACACTTTAGAATTCTAAATCCTCTGAAAAACATGGTGATAAAAATGGTCTTTTCCGCGATGTGGGACTCGTGGGAAGGTTACCAATTGCCTTCTAAATGGGTGGAAAAGCTTAGCTGAAGGTGGAGTGGAAATCATTGGCTGAGAAGTCTGCCTACGTTACACGGGAAGAGGGCCACTAAGGAGGTTTCAAGGCCAGTTCTAGTCCAGAATGTCTGTTGGTTCCAGAGAGCCAAGTTGGAGCTTTACCGTGTGGGGTTAAGGAACAGAGGCTGCTCAGGCCGTGGGATTCCATGGCTACTCACAGCACTTCCGGTTACAGGCTTGTTGCACCTCTGGCACTGAGGAGATGTCTCTTCATGGGTCACTGCTCTCACACACGCAGAATCAGGGGGAAGGTGAGCTTTGCAGTGGGGCACGAAATGTCTGGTTCAAGACAACTTGCATGGGCCTTAAAAACATATCAATTTCCTTTTCTTTTTAGATGTTTTCTTAAGGTAGAGTTTCGTGGTTTGTAGCTCAGGCTGCTTTAGCTCATTAACCTCCTGCCTCAGCCTCCTGAGTGGCCCCTCATTTCTTAAAGTCAATACACCCTTCAGTTACTATGAATGAAAGTGCAATCCATCTACAGTTCCTAAGAGTAAACTGCCCAGACCTGTGACAGGGTCTCCAACCAAGAGCAAAAGTCTCACTTCCTTTTTAGCCAAAGGCAAAGAAAACTAAGTTTCCTGACATCTCCCCCTGTTCCCAGCATGCATACAGACCGCGCCTGCGCGCGCGCGCGCGCGCGCGCGCGCACACACACACACACACACACACACACACACACACACACACACACACACGGTTCCTAGGTCACCATCCATACGAATGAGAAGCCTGATTTTAATCCGTGGCACAAAAGTTATTTGCATCAAAATTATGTAGTCCGAGGTTTCAGCAATAGCTTAAGTGAGGGAAAAAAAATTGCAAAAAAAAAAAAAAAAAATCTAATAGACAAATAAATAACAAGTTACATGCAAATACCAGGAGTTTATAGATGAACAACCCTTACAAATGGAAGAGTTTGCACAGGAAATTGCTCGGGGCTCGAATGCATATATGGGCCACTGACATCAAAGACTTCCTTCAGATAATTATTAGGCAGTATAAGTGAAGGCTAATAGACCATTTCTAAGTGCTGTTTCCTGGGAGCCCCTGGGAGCTCCTGCAGGGGAGACATTAGCAGCCACAGTTGGGCTGCGGCGGAGGAGGCGTTTCCTTGAGTCTGGAGCTCTGCTTTGCGGCCATGATGGCTGGGTCGGTCTCCAGGCTCTCGGACATCTTGTCACAGATGATGTCCACGAGGCGCTCAAAGGTTTGCTTCACGTTGATGTTCTCCTTGGCGCTGGTCTCAAAGAACTCAAAGCCTGAAGGAAAACACACAGAAAACAGCTCCGTCATTTCGTGTCTCGGGAGGCCAGTGGACCCAGCTGTGGGTTTGCAGGTAGAGGGGGGTGAGGGCAGCAGCGGGAGGGGGCTCTGCAGGGGCAAAGAGATTTTCTGAAAAGCGTTCAAGAGTTGATAGCTGTCATGAAGAAGCCTCCCAGCCTTCCTTCTTGCTACCGCCTCTGGTGGGATCCTAACCCTTGGTTGTGGACTTGGCTGCATGAAGAGCAGAGCACTGGCGTGTCTGTGACTGATTTTCCAGATGCAGCTAGAGGGTGAGGACGCTGACTCAGCCAAGGAGTCAACCTCCGTGTGGCGTTATTGCTAGGCAGTGGAGGGCTGGAGTGGGGTGTAGCGGCTGTCAGTCTGTTCCTGGGCGTGTATCCCTGAGTACTTTCCCCAGTTACCCCTTGCTCTGTTTCCTGGCCCCCATGATGCAAATTGTTCTGCTCTACCACAAGGCTGACTCTGAGGACAAAAATGAGCCATACAACTCCTTCCTCACTTAGGACTTTTTTGTCTGGCTACCGTGTAGTTATTTACAGTTTTTTTAAAAAAAATATATATGTATTTTTTTTATTAATTACAGTTTATTCACTTTGTATCCCAGCTGTAGCCCTCTCCCTGGTCCCCTTCCAATCCCACCCTCCCTCTCTCTTTTCCACCTATGCCCTTCCCCCAGTCCACTGATAGGGAAGGTCTTCCTCCCCTTCCATCTGATCCTAGTCTATCAGGTCTCATCAGGAGTGGCTGCATTGTCTTCCTCTGTGGCCTGGTAAGGCTGCTCCCCCCTCAGGGGTCAATGATCAATGAGCAGGCCACTGAGTTCATGTCAGAGACAGTGCCTGCTTCCATTACTAGGGAACCCACTTGGATACTGAGCTGCCATGGGCTACATCTGTGCAGGGGTTCTAGGTTATCTCCATGCATGGTCCTTGTTTGGAGTATCAGTCTCAGAAAAGACCCCTGGGCCCAGATTTTTTTTTTCTCTCCTTGTGGAGCTCCTGTCTCCTCCAGGTCTTTCTGTCTCCCCCTTCTTTCATAAGATTTCCTGCACTCTGTCCAAAGTTTGGCTATGAGCCTCAACATATGTTTGGATACCTTGCAGGGTAGAGTCTTTCAGAGGCCCTCTGTGGTAGGCTCCTGTCCTGATCTCTGTTTTCTTCCTCTTCTGATGTCCATCCCATTTGCCTTTCTGAATGAGGATTGAGCATCTTACCCAGGGCTCTCCTTCTTGCTTAGCTTCTTTCGGTGTACGGATTTTAGTATGATTACCCTATATTATAAGTCTAATATCCACTTATCCATTGACTTCCATTCTAATCTCGTTTCTGTATTCTGTCAAAGTTACTAACTTCCTCTTTTTAATGAGAGGCTTAGAAAAGGACCTGTGCATATTCTATCAAAAGAGGTTTTATGAAGTTCCCATAGAATCCTGTCATAACTTTTTTTCTGTCTGTCTAGCAGCTGCCCAGTCATGGGTCTAAGGATAGGCTTCCAGTACATTTTCTAACGGAACACTAGGTGGCGCTAAAGAGTCACAGGAGTTGCCTTAGACCTGTTTCGACCTCTGGCTCTTTGAAATGGCTGTTAATCCAACAGCCTTGCAAGTCTTGGTAATTGAACTTCAACTATCCCGTGGAGGCTGATTTCCTTCTTATCTGTCTGTCTTTGCAAGTTAAGTTTTTGAATGTGAAAGGAGACAATAAATTACAAGTGAGAAGCAACTGAGGGGCCAGTTCCCACTTCCGGGATGTGCGTGAAAGCAGTCTCAGTGTGCAGCTCATTCCATTGTTTGATTTCACATTCCACTGGCTGTGATTGCCAGTCAGTTGCCATGACAACTTCCTCGCTTGGCCAGCCAGAGGTTGGTCTAGTCCACTGGGGGGGGGGGGGGATGTTAATTTAGGATGTGTTTGGCAGAACACAGAAAGCCTTTTCTAATCCATTCTCAATTTTACACCCTATAAATCCTTCTGGTTACATCTGGCCCTATCTCAGAGGAGACACAAAGATTCAAAATGATTAAATCCAGTGATTTTTTTTTTTTTGACTGCCTGGTTCATGGTACTAAAATAAAAAGAACAGTCTAATAGTTGATAACTATGTCCAAATCCTTCAGATAACTTAAAAAAAATCAATAATAAATAAAATAAAAATACGTATTTTCTAAAAGACAGTTGAAAGCCAAATGATTTTCATGAGTGAACATTTCTAACTTTTAGATACTACTGTTTGAACAGATGATTAAACGTGGGTTGCATTTTAACTGCTCATCTCTTAGGGTCTGAGTGAGTAACTGCCAGACTTGGGGGATTAGCCATCAGTAGTCTAAGGGTCTAGGAAACAGTGCAAGGCATTTCAGTCTGCCTTTGGCTTCTACTCCGGTTTTATTGTTTTATGTCTGCAGAGTGACTGTGTTGTTCTCTTGGAGTAGACATTTCTTTGTCTGTAGACAAGGCCAGGTAGTATGGACAGTGATGGACAGGGGAGCCTTTATTCTCTAATGATTCCCTGGACTTTCTGTTTATTACATCTCAGCACTGTGGGTTTTGTTTTGTTCTTTTAACCCCAGCTACCTCATAATCGCTTGTTCTAGGAAAATTTTACCCTTGTATCCGCACACCTCAGCAGCAGCAGAAGCCACGTGTCAGAGAAGTCTCCAAAACAGTCACATAAAACCTCCAAGATTGTTTCCAGTTCACTGCCCGGGAGAGCGCAGTCCATCACGCTCAAATAAGAAGACCAAGGTCATGTAGCAAGCTGAGTATGGAGTGTGACAGGTTCCCTGACAAGTAGGTTACCGCGTCAGCTCCTCTCCCTGGACACCTGCCCCTTCTGCTGCATGATCTGCAGTTAGTGACGTTACCATGTGTGTCTTCGTCAGCTGAGCGGTGCACACTCTCTGTGCCACACAGAACAGCTGGCCACCCTTTACCATCCCTCCCAACTGCTCTCTGGCAGAGGCAGCTTGGCTCCAAATTCAGAAAAGCACATGCCCCAGCCAGCACATTCCTGCCTTGGGCTTCTCCAGGCCTGACCTAGAAAAAAACAATTCCTGATCTCAACAGAACCAGAAAATTTGAACACAGGGGTCTTCCCAGAGACTCATACTCCAACCAAGTACCATACATGGAACCCCTGCACAGATGTAGCCCATGACAGTTTAGTGTCCAAGTGGGTTACATAGTAATGGAAAGAGGGACTGCCTCTGACATAATCTGATAGGCCTGCTCTTTGATCACCTCCCCCTGAGGGGGGAGCAGCCTTACCAGGCCACAGAGGAAGACAATGCAGCCATCCCTGATGTGATCTGATAGACTAAGATCAGAAGGAAAGAGAGGAGGACCTCCCCTATCAGTGGACTTGGGGAGGGGCATGCGTGAAGAAGGGGGAGGGAGGGTGGGACCAGAAGGGGAGGAGGGAGGGACTTATGGGGGAATACAAAGTGAATAAACTGTAATTAATAAAAATAAAATAATAAAAAAAAGAAACCCATGATGGGCATACCCAGACACTATTCAAATGAACCCCTTTTGCTATGGCCTCTGTACAGATGAAGAAGAACTACCTGTCTGGCAGGACACTGCTGTTGAGTAGGGGCATCCCAAACCCCCGGCCTTATGGGGAATGACATGGGTCTGGCATGTTGGCCAGGGTTCTCTACCCTGTTCCTTGAAGGTTCCTGGAGCAAAGCTCAGAGAAGCCTGGAACCTTTTCAGACTCTGAGGCCCAAGGAAGCAAGCAGGGCCATGAGGCCAAGGGCACACTGCTCCCTGAGTGCCAGGCTGTAGACACTGTGCCACTGAGCCCTGAAATGTCACAGCGCCCCATTGTGATTGTTCTGTGTTAGAAGCAACAATACAGCTCCAATAGTAAGTATTGAACCGTCTCTTTCTCAGCCAGTGAATTTATTCCATTTTTGTAGAGGATTCTAAATCTCCTCGCACATGTTAATATTTATACCATATAGTAAAACTCTGTACATCTTCACTACAGTAGATTTTTAAAAATCTTTTTTCTCACCCCAGGAAAGAAGTCTTGACCACTATTTGGGCTCTCTGTCCTTTTCAATTTGAGAGAAAAAAAAATCACAATTGTTCCCCCTCTCCTCCATAACTCCTAAAACTGTACCTTAGTGCATCGTTTTACTTTTTTTTTTTTCCCTGACAAGGTTTCTCTGTGTAGCCTTAGCTGTCCTGGGCTTGCATTGTGGACCAGGCTGGCCTTGAACTCACAGTGATCCACCTGCCTATGCTTCTTTCAGTGCTGGGATTAAAGGTGTGTACCACCGTGCCTGGCTCCTCATTTTATTTCTAATTGGCAATAGTTTAAGTTCTTGCTGCTTTTCCCATCTCAAGTGGGCTCTTTCTTCATTTGAGTTGCAGCTACAGGGTCTCATCTTCACTTTTCCTGTGGAACTAGATGAAGCAGAAATTCGGGGAAAGGTCACCATCACACTGCCTGGCAGGTGACAGTTGGGACAGAAGTAAGGATGTCAAAGCAGCAGGACCAACTGTCATTTTAGCTGGTCCCATGTTGGGACGAAGCCATGAGACAGACTTTAGGAGGGGGAGGGGATGAGGATTTGACCCACTTCCCTGAAGAATGGCCAAAGAAAGCAGCCAGAAGCTGGAATAGGAATTTGGCCCATGGCTAATGTTGATAAAAATAGACAACAACAAAATGGGCATGTCTTTCAGGCTGCGAATTTGTTGTTAGCCAGGCTTAACCGGATGTCAAGATTCAGAAGCTGTGCACCGGTCATCTTATAGCGATGATGATCTTCTCCCTGCCCTTAACCTTCCAGACTCTAGTTTAGCCTTCTGATAAGGAAGGGGCTGCTGAGTTTGCTGGAGTTGAGGTTGCATAGGCTACAGGAGTTCCTCTTTCTCTATTGAGTAAAACCAAGTTCCATAGCTAGACATTCATTGCCTGCCTTCTCAGATGTCCCCCAGCTCTCAGACCTGCAATTTATGTA